ACGGCGTTGCTACATTGTTCGTCTTGCCCAAGCAGATTCACCTCAGATTGGAACGTGCTTCAAAATGGTACTTGAGATGAACCAAACGGTTTGCTCTGCTACTAGGCATGCGTATCAGCTGGGGGCGACCATTTTAATATCAGACATCATGCCGCGACAGGGGTAGCCAGTCTTTACAGCCGAAGCCTTTATTTTCCACAAGTAACATCACTGAAAATGTAAAATAAAAATAAAATAATGGTAAGTGCGTTTAAAGTCGATCACTGATAACGAAATTATGGAAGTAAATTTAAATATTACTGTGGCGGTCAGCTGTTGATCCATCGAGCAGAATCAATTTTGAGCAGCTAACACTCGCTCATATAATTAAAGAAATTTAAGATTAATAAAGGCACAGATGCAAAGATACTATCACTGTTGGGTGTGCTAGACGGATCCAGTCCGTCTCATACCCTGTTACTCCGAGATCAATTTTAATCTGAGGAGATCTCATAGGCCTATACAGATTTAATTACAAGTAATAAATCGTAGGCCTTCGCTACGAAAAATGGTCAGATATAAAAGTAAAATACTATAAATCCCAGACCCTTCAAGAGGTTTCTATGGTGGCGATGTTTGGGAAAACGGCGATAGATTACAGCTAGCGGACAGAAATTCATAAGGGCAATAGGTGAAAATAAAATGAATAAATTAAGAACTATAGACATTATAAAAGAAACGTCTTCATCATGTAGGATTTGAGGTTTTCACAGCGGTGAGTAGGAAGACAAATTAAAAGGTTGAATATAAACACAGCTGATTATCACACATGAATTTAAAGTATCCTGTAGGCCTATTTGCGAAAAATATTAAAAACGTTTGTCTCTTTAAAATCTGTAAACTCTTCTAGAAAAGTGTAATTGGTTTGGACTTTGTCATCGTCTTAAGTTATAAGATATCAATGTTTCGGAAGCTGGATTCTGCTTCCATCTTCAGGTAAAAAGAGAACAGAAAACCTGTATGTTCCCTGGTTGAGCTAGTCGCAAACTGGGCCAGAGGACTCAACAGATAGGCTTTCTAACCTCTTGTTATCCTTTCTTACCTGAAGACTGAAGAAAAATGTAGCTTCCGAAACACTTTAGTATTGGTCTTATAATCAAAGATAATGGACAAATTCAGAAGGAACAATTTTACTTATTTTGAGTAACGTCGGCCACGAATGTGTTAAACCCAATATCTCCAACGCATCCATACATGCGCGTCGTCTGTTTTCCTTCATAAGTTATTAGCTTGTTTCGAGAATTACCCATTCTACATCAATGTACCAGTCGCTATAACTCATGTTCTTTATTTGTGTAGTCTGTTATTGTCAGATATTTGCATTTACTGCTTTTGTGCGCCAATTGTGATTGATGAGTTAGTATCCAGGCGCTTTTTCAGGAAACACATCTCTGCTGCTTCGGTTCTGATTTAATCGTGTGTCGCCTCGACCTGTTCACGAGCTTTAAATAGCGGTAGATTTTGGTCGGCCCTTCAGCATCACGACTTGTGGAGCTCTGTATAAAACTACAGCAGGAGATAATACGACATACCAATCACACATCTGTGAACCTGCGGATGAAGTGAATAAAATACACTTTCAAATAACAAAGCGTTCACAAACTTCAAGTGGACGTGTCTCCATTTTGTGTCGCATGGGGGGAGGCCAGAAGTGAGAAATGAACTGTATCAAAATGACGAAGACAGAATATTTTATGGATGATTAATGGATTTATTCACAGTGCATCAACTACACACAGAGGGTTTGCCAACACATTTTGAAATTCCAAAGACTTTTCCGTGCCTCTGATTTCGGAAGTTTGTAACAAGAATGCATTTCTTAACAGTCAACGGATTATATACAACAAGATGAGTGATTTCTATTGGACACCGGGATTTTCGTTAGCAGTGCCAAGCTGTTCAGTAGAGGGACAGAATAGACCCTAGGGTCCAAACCCTGATGATAATTATGGTGATAGTTTTGTAGTATTGGTTTAATGACGATTTATTTCCGTGTCAAATCATCTTCTTTTACGGTAGTAACGTCTACATCTAATGTAATGTTTTTACTAAGAAGAAAATCTTAAGCCTTGGTATTGCTGACCCACGCAGGCGTCCGATGGCTGTAAATCCGTGGCTAGAAATCTGTCAATTGTAATTTATTTGTTAAAACGCTACGTTATACTTAGTATGAATATTCCCTGGGAGAAGAATTAAATTATCGAGACATCCAGTTGCGAACGTTTTTGGGTTTTCTGTGCAGGGTCCTCGAGAGACAGACATGTTTCGTTGTTGAGTGTGGGGGGGATTTCTCCAGATGGAATAGACGCGGGTATCCTTGTTTTTCCTAGGCGGCATTTCCTTCGCGGAGTCCGATAAAATTGGATAGATAAATATTGACCTCCGTGCTTCCCTTGATGACTAGTGCAAGAGAGAGACGCCAGTGCAGGGGAAGCAGCATCGCATGCGCCCAATTACTGTAATTGAATGTTACTTGCGAGGAAACAATGCAGCATCTACAATTGGCTTCTTTATGACGAGGGTTCGTATCTTGTGATTGGATGTTTCCGTTTCCTAAACACGATGAATCGTCACTAAGCCAACCACGGTTGATGGAGGAGGGTTTTAATTGGTTAATGATTTCGGATTTGGCAGTAGACGGAAGTTGAAGTAATTATCTTATTCATACAAATTATTCCTGCAGAAGGGCTGCATAACATAACGTAAAATTTCATGACAATGACAGACCTCAAGAAATTTATTTTTGAGAAATTGTAATTGACGTAACCAAATTCACTGTGCAGAATCTTTTTTTAAAAAATAATAATAGTTATTTAAAGAGTCAGAAGTAAACACAAAGATTCATTACTTTAAACACTATCCTGATTTATTTAAATTTAGTAACCAACCTCACGCCATATTTATAAGATTCATTTTAATATTGTTCTCACATGTATGCTTTAGGTATCCTATTGCCTTGAGGTCTCTGGAGCAAGATTTCGTAGCCGTGTAGACTGGTAGAAGTTTACCGACGTTTCAGAGATGCTTGCATACTCAGGACTTCAACCCAAAAAATTAATGTCAGATATTTATTAAATCTAGTATTTCAGAGAGAACAGTTTGTACCAGTTCTTGTTGGTTAGTAACTTCGAACATAAATTTGACGTCATGCAGCGAAAATGTTAGCCATCCTTGGTCTATTGTGAAATAATTATTTCGTGTTTGCATCTGTAGTGTGCAGAACTGTCACCGCGCTCCTGTACGTCTATCGAGTTTTGTATGATCGATAATCGACTGATGAATTATGCAGCCAAACGACAATTAAGAGAGACGAGGGCTTCAAAACCGCCATTCAATCAGCACGCGTTTTCTCTTCAAATACAGTGACAGTGGCTTGCAGGTGTCTGCTCAGATGACGTCATTAACTACGCGTAGGTTTAACGTTCCTCGCTCCTTGCTCAGGGAGAAAGAAATTAACGTAGTTATCTGGATTTCTGCAGATGGCGTTTATTGCTTGTTTTATATCGCTTTGTGTTCGTGAAAGTGATTGGTGCGTCACATAGTTTAATTTGAGCAGAGACAGTTGTCTGTAAAGTGACTGGTGACGGGTTTCTAAGCCTCGCATCCAGTGGTTGTGTCCGTTCGTGAAGTTGGCTTAGTGTGCAACGGGAACACTCGCCGACTTGATCCCCTGTGCGTGTTCAAGACGCTGTGCCAAAATCCAGAGGCACTTCTTAATGTTTGTTACCGGCGTCCTGATCAGCAGATATAATGACGTCGGTTGTGTCTTCATTATTTCCTTAAAAGTTTCTTACGGTAGCAAAAACGATGTCTCAGTGGTGCTTGCTGCCTTCGTAATCTCCCTGATGATGTGAAACTTTTAGTAAACCTATAGTAGCATTTCACCTTACGTCTTCTTATCTAATTTGATATCACTGCTCTCTGCAGTTGATGAAGCGTCGTTTTTGCTCCACAAATCAAATCGACGGTCATAAAATACTACAACTGATCCAGAGACATTTCAATCTATGTTACTTTCACGACCTGTTTTACGATCCCTTATGTGGTCTTGGATGTTTCAAGAAACTTCTTCGGATTTTGCAAGTCGCATTTTAAGCGTCTATATTTCTGCGAGGGTGTTTGAGGTATGTGCAGTGGGTTCAACGTGATGATGGTTCGTTACGTGCCATAAACGCAGGGAATTTTTTAATCTGCAGTGTTTCTGTATTCTACCAGACGTTTGATATAACGCTTGTGGTCATTCTTGAACGAGGGCTGCCAATTACATTAAATGACATTTTACCTTTCGTAGAATATCGCATAAATATACAAATCTGACGTTATCTCTGTACCTGGAAAGTACAGTTCAATTTATTAGGCATGGCCGCTGTAAACACGATGCGCAGTAGATTTGGAAGAATCCACTAAGGAGTTGAAGGGTCTGTGAGTTAGTTCAGTTACAACTTAGCTATTAACCCCCACTGCATCTAGAATTTCAATTCCCACCACTCTTCCACTCTCTTCCCCTCACGCTCTGCTCAGTGGCCACGTCAAAAAAATTCAACTGTAGTTCTCCCACGTCGGTGTAATCTGCTTCACATTCACGCCTGCCTGTTTGTCATTTACGTCGCTTGTAATCGATTCAGTTAGCTTTCAGGATGAGTTACAGGATTTAAACGCCTCATTTACGTGACTGTAATAATCGCTTTGAGCCTTTCAATCTCACATTAGCGCATTATGTCTCATTAATCCTATAGTTGTCTGTTACCATGGTGACAAAGCGTGTCTGCCGCCATTACATTTTTGTTTCTGGCAAGTAAACCAGCAATCAGCACTCTCAAATTAAGCAGTGTATAAAAGCCTTTCGTTTCTACAGATATTGGACTGTTTATTTGTTAGTTGTATGATGATTCTGTATCAACTGTTGAATTCATGCGAAGTCATATTAGATATGTTGGGATGATAGTGAATGATGCGGCGGTAGTCTGTTTTAAAATCAGTAATTGAACATCGCATTTCAGTGGCCAGCTGTGTTGTTTGCGTTTAAAATCAGCCGGGTTAGATTGTCGGTCTGAAGGTCGGCTAACGAGACTGAAAAGTCCGTCTGTCCAGGTAAAAGCAGTAATAATTTTTTTGTTTATGTTGTCCGCTCTTACGGACTGCAATTCTTATCGTGATTGTAACTCTGTAGAACGGATTGCCCTCGCGAAGGGTTAATTCTCTGCATTCCCAACGGCAGGACCGAACACTACAAAACTTTATCTAGATTTTTGTTATGTCTGTTCAGTATGTGGATCTACGATATCCTGATTCTGACCTAACCTCACATTTATGAATCCTATGCAGAAAGCGTTTTAAATAAGCGCATTTTTCTGCCCTTCCGTATCTCCGTTGGCATGTTTTATCTGTGACGTTATTGAACGGATTTAGACAAAATTTGTACGCCCACAGCAGAAGTCGTGGGGCGAATGTTGTACGCCGATATCTGTCGATTGGTGGTGTCATTGTGGGATGTGAGACAGTTGAAGAGCTGAACGCGAGCGCTTACCTGCGTCGGCGTCAGGTGGATGAGGCTCGCGAGGTGCTCCCTCTCAGGGGCAGACAGGTACTTCTGTTGTTTGAACCGTCGCTCCAACTCGTAAACCTGCGAGGAACAAGACACCGCATCGTGAACTCTCTGAAATATGTCATTCAACTCCATATTAGAAAACTTGATACTCACTCAGTTGGTTAGAAATTCGCTGATACGCTTACTTACGTAACCGTGATATTTATCACCTAATAACAATACCAGTCATTGGATCCTCTCTTAAGCCGGTTTAATCTGGGTTAATACTTCACATTGCTTTCCAAAGAACTATTTTATCTGAGCTAAGCTAAAATCTTAGTAAGACGCTGTCATGGTTCACAACCTTAACAACATTAACTAGTAAATCTTTGTAACGGTGGAGTGAAGTGTTTTCTTTGCGGTAAAGACTATAGTCTTTAATATTAGACTAGCTTCAACGCCTTTAATGGGTTAAATGTTGATTTGTGATGAGAATTTTAAGGCCATTCCGAGATCTAGATATGTTTCTTATGCCAATGCTATTTTCAAGGACGTAGACATCTAAAGAACTTCACTTAAGGACATCTTAGAATGTCACTTGTGACTAATGTTTTTGTCTTTACTTTGTACATAATCTGTGGGCTTCATATTGTTGTAAATTTTTGTCGTTTTATTTTAGACAATATTATTTATTTTTGGAATACCCTGTCGTATGGTTTTTGTTTTTTTAGTTCTTGGTTGTAATTTACTTTATTTGGTTGTTTTAAAGGACGTAAATAATCGAATTAAATTATTTTATATCATTATTAATACGGGCGTTTAAACAGCAGTTTGGACAGGCTACCAGCCCTCATATATTTTCATAGTAAACACTTTATTTGATACAGTGTTGCAGAATTGGCATTTAATGATGATACGTGGTAGTGGCCTTACGGGTCCCTTCGCTTGAACCTGCGCCGTTGAGGGTCTATCCGACTTCCTTCCTCTGGAGAACCATCGCGGCACGGAAACTATCGATTCTGCTCTTATTTTAGAGAGCTCTTATCAAATCGCAGAGAAAGATTCTAAAGAGACCTCGTGAGATATACAAAATATGCACTCCACATCAGCTGATCGTAAAGCAGAACGTGTTTGCGTTTACTTTTTTACTTTTTTTTTTAAAGAAATGGATTGACGGTTTGTGGTGCTTACGCAAGTAACGTTTAGCTAAAACGAAGTGTCCCTCACTGATTGAAAGCCGATAACGAGTCTGGACCAGGTCGGACAGACTTTTGGTTCGAATCCTGGCCGGGGATATATTACTTTGATTGAATATTTTTTGTATAAACGTTCTTTTGCTGGGTTTTATAGACGTACATACACTAAGCATGAGCCGGGATAGCTCAGTCAGTATAGTGACTAGCTACGGGCTGGACGACCGGGGTTCGATCCCCGACGGGGGGGCAGAGGATTTTTCCTCTAGCCTCTGCGTCCAGACCGGCTCTGGGGCCCACCCAGCCTCCTCTACAATGGGTACCGGGGTCCTTTTCCGGGGGTAAAGCCGGCCGGGGCGTGATGCTGACCACTCACCCCCATCTAGTGCCGAGGTCAAGGAAGAGAGGAGCTATACCTCCACTCACCCCAAACGCCTACATGGCGTATAGTGGGACAAACTTTACTTTACTTTTACATACACTAAGCAGATCATGGGTGAGTGAACGGTCTTTTGTTTCAACGTGTCACTTTCAAAAGCCTGCATCTGTAGTATATGTGAAATCAATCGTAGCTGATTCACAGTGTTTTTCTCCTGTCCCTTCTCTTGAGTATGCTTAATAATTTAACGAAATATGCAGAAGATTACATTGCATTGGCTTAAAGATATTTCTCTTGGTGGTAATGTAATTTAATCGCAACAACAATTTTGTGACTGAAATACTAAATAAAAATAAACTTTAAAACCTATAGTGTAGATCTATAAGAGTCTAAATTATCATGTCATTTTTTAATATTTCATAAGAAGTAAATGTCATACTGAATTACGGGTTTCTACAGTCTGTGTAGTATGTGTTCAAAGATTCCATTTGTTATTATTATTAATTACGTGACTATTAACGGAGCAATGCGTGCATTATACATATTAATTTTTTCAGTACATAGACAACATTCGACTTCTTAAATGATGCAAATTAATAGTCCCTTATTTTGAATCTTGAAGTTCGTAATTGGTATTTGTTGCCATTAGCGTAAGAAAACAAGCCCGGTTAAAATTTTCTTGAGAGAGGAAATATTTTTCTTTGTGTGTTCTTGCAACTGGCGTGCGGTACGTCCCAAGTGCCTCATGATGACGTGCGCTGCAAACACGCCACATTTCAACTTGAATGCCTCTTTCCTTGTTTTATGGTTCACATTACTAATTGGTTTTCTTGCTGGATTTTGTTAAGAAACTAAATATACGCTGCTTCTATTAGCTCCTCAGTGACGAGTTGTGTTTTGTGGTTTGTTTGCTTTCTTCAGTCTTATCTTCCTTACCCATGTCTTTGACTTCCATCGTGTGTGTTTATAGTGGATATTTGATGAGTATCTGAAAGTATGCGGCATATTTAGAAATTTCCTCTCACAGACTTAAAATCTTTGACATGTACATTGAACGTGTATGGAATTTTAGTCTGTTTATCCAATAATCACCAGATTACATATTGCAATTTACTTAAAAATGTTACGAGCAAGAAAACGTCCAAGGTATTTTGGTTCCAGCAGACTTACACTGTAATATTTTTGTAATGAGTCAGTGATCCGTCCACTTCTTCCGGTTAAAGGACTTCGTTTCAACGGGTCCATGAATTGCCTAACGCATCCACAGCTGGCTGCAGCACTGTGGTGTAGCGAAACAAAAATAGGTTTGTATTCGGGTAGATCAGGCAGGAGTTCGTATCCCACCTGAGACATGGATGTGTCACAAGCGTCTTACTGTGCTGTATTCGCCTTGTAACAGGCTGATCCCCCATGCAAAGAATTTTGCCAGGTGCTGAGAAAATGTTATAAAATCTGGCAGAAAAATTCTGCAGGGAAGTTTAATTTACGGATCTGACACAAAATCGAGACATTAGATGGACTGATAGTCCTTTGTATTTCAATAAATAAACACAATCATGAAATTTGTTTCAAATAAAAGTTACATATTTTAGTGATGTGTATACTTAATGCAATGTAAACACTTCTTTATAAGATGGAGGGATATTATTTCAATTTAACTCAAAGATATGTAACTTCTGATTGTATGGACAACATTTATTCTGCTCTGACAGGAGCCAAGTACGGGTTTTCTTGAATACAGTAAGTAATGAACCTTCGGATTCCATAATAGAATAAAAATGTCAAGACCCACTAAGCTAACAAGGTTAACAACATCTAAAGGACACTGCTTCATGAAGTTAGCCACGTGTTATTTAAAAACTCTGATGGAGCTAACGTCGGTCGTAAGTATCCTAAAACTACAATTTATTTTTCGTTTCCGTTTTGACACTTCGAACTAGTGATGGGCAAGACGTATTGATATATAGACGTATGTGTATCGATATTTTTATACTGGTTTATAGGAAATTTTATATTTTCTGCACCGATAACAACAAAACGAATAATTAGTCAAATATTAACAAGGGATTTTCGCGAACCCGTTGCAACTACCCCTGGACGGGCCTGACTTCCTTCACATCATCTTTATATAAGTGACTCAAAACTGTGCACGCGTCAGCATCTCTTAGCTCGTCGATATAAATCTCGATCTGTCGGAGGGGAGAATTGCGTGTTGTATCTGTCTCAAGGTATCGGCATCGGCGTGTAGTGTTATTTTAATATTCCGTTGGAAAAGACGGCGAGGAAACACGTTTAATGCGAGATTGTACAGAAGAATTAGGCAGACACGAACGAATTTAATTTCTCTTGTATCTCGAAACCTTAATAATCACCACGTTTAGAAGGATGGATTTTTCTTCGGCGTTAGGTAAAAGGCCCAGACACCTATTTCGTTAGATCCTATCCTTTTATATGTGGTCAAACTAAGACCCATCTTTTGAAGCGTAGTGATTTTTGCGGTTTAAGATTATTTAAAAACAAACGACAAATAAAGTCCGAAACAAACTGAATATTAATGTAAGACCATCGCAAGTAAGATTCAGAGAGCATCTCGTTTGTCCTGGGTCTTGGTCGTCGTTCTGCCCGCCCGAGGTCGTGCCTTATCGCCCGTCAACGCCGGAGCATGCCCTATCGGCGATCTGTCTTCCCGTGAGACCGACCCGCCAACCGTGCCTTACCTCTCGATCGCACTCCGGTGCAGTACAACCCGAATACAACCTCATGCAGGCCGGAACATCGATCGATGTCTTCCAGCGTCTGTATTTCAAATGGGGTGACTGTTTCCCAGAGAAATGCGGCTGAAACGGGACACCTCTCAGTTGCCACCAGACTAATCCTCTGTCTCAGTCTCATTCCGGTTATTTTCAGTGTATTTTAAGAATATTCATTGCTGTAAATCAGAAGGGGAACGCGGAACTAGCCATCTCACCGCTCACAGCAAATTCATGGACCCGCGCCATCCTATCAACTGCCAGGAAACAAAAACGTATTAAACGTCAGTCCCCCGTTACATGAAATTTCTCGACATTTTCACGTGGTTTCGTTCTATTGTCGCCCAGTAGCGTCTTCGCATAAATAATTTTCATATTGTTGTTCTCACTCGTTAGTGAATCGTAATCTATTTGCAGCTGCCACCTCTTAAGTTTAGCCAATAAATAAAAATTACTATTCACATTTATTTAACTTTTTAAAACTTTTTAAAACCGCTGCTTTAACATTGAGTAACTTTGAATTTTGCCAACAGAGTGTATTTAAGAGTTTTGTATGATTCTCAGAATAAACAGCGATTATTTTCTTAAATAATATTAAATAATCGATTTTTGAAATGGACAGGTGCCGTGTTTTCTTTGAGGCACGAACTGGATTTGAAAATTTTATTTTTACAAGCTTTGGTTACAGAAGGTTAAACAAAAACAGTCTATATGAAATAGAAAAAAAAATTAAATTGAGATTGTTCAGAATTATTTAGCTTACCAGCTCATTAACTTTTGTCATATGCCAAATTATTCTCGAGGGGTAATTAACAACAAGATGAAAGCCAATGCCCCTACACACTTTTTAAATGTTGACGGCCATAACAGACACGGAAATGCGTAGGAAACCGTAATCTATTACGCAGTCTTTTACAGCGAAATGCCACAACAGTCTTATAATACGTGGCTTTGCGTATTTAACCAGAATTCCTATTATATTTATACACACACAGATACAAATATATTTATACGTCAAGCTGAAGTTGTCCCAACGTTTAAGCAGGAGTCCAGGAAGAAAGGGAAATTGTGTGATTGTTCCTTGCATTATCGGCACGCCAGTGTGCTCTATCTGTTAATTGATACTGCATTGTTGTCAACAATACTTGTGTCCCGTTTTAACACTCCCCCCCTTAAAAAAGGAGTTTTAGACGTTTCAGAGGCGCTTGCTACCTTCAGGACGATGAGAAACCCACGCCGAGCACAGTTCAACGTCGCATAAGACAACAATCAGTAACTCGGATGTATGTTTGGTGACAGAGGAAGACCAAGTTAAAAACTTAATTACAGTTGAAGACACAAGCTCCTACCGGATCTTGGAGTGACTTTGCAGAAACCTCGACTAGAGTACAGGCTGTATTAGCAAGTGTGGGAACTGCAATGCATTGTTCTACGTCTGTGCAATTTAATCCCAGCTGTTGCTTAGCCCCAAAGCAATAGTACTCGCTATTATAAGCCTATATAGTAGTATTAGACTGGTGTTTGACTTCCACTAAGTATGGTGCGTGCTTTCGTATATTTACATGGGCAGAAAGTCACTACTGCTTGGTGCTGTGTTTACACTTATGGATGAGTTTACTTGTTGGAGTGGTAGCCTAACCGCCGTACGGTAGCTGCATACACAACTAGCAATGCCGCTACTATGCGTTAGGGATTTACAAACTGCAGTCCAGGCAGGCCTCAGTAATTGTTCCTCGCAATACGAGTATCGGGGATTCCATTCATTTCAGTCTTGATTAGTAGATATGACACGTGGCGAGCTTTTGTGAACATGGTAATGAACCTTCAAGTCCCATAGACGGCGGATAATTTATTGAACTAACTAAGCGACTGTCAGATACCTAATAAAGAATATAGTGTATTACTTGATGTTTTTATGGGTTTTTGACGTACGTAGATGTCAACATTTCGCGATAAAACCCTTTCACTTAACATCGCGAACAAAAAAGGTTGAATACCACTGTTCTAGGTTGTAGCGCTGCAAATGAAACGTAGGCGAACTTCTACGAGACTACAACCATCTTCATATTCACCGCCGTGAAAACCTCAGATCTCACCGATGATTGCTTGACAGGGGATCTGAACAGTGTGTAAGAAATTGGAGTTAGTAACAGGCTTAAATTCGCAGATGTCACCATACAAATATCAATAATCTTTTAAGTCTCTTATTAAAATCACACTTAACATATTCTTGTACCAAATGCTACTTTAAAACTCGAAATTCCCCGGATAGGAGACCGGTGCAAACTTTATACACGCGACTTTCGGGTTGTAAGTTCTGTCATAATGGATTTTGTTGTCGATTTTTCTTGGTTTATTTAACGAATTTATCAAACGCTGAACAAATTCAAAGAACAGTGGGCTAGTATAATGAACGATAATTCAAGATGAAAATTCAAGTGATCGATCGTGGCCTAAGGACAGTCCTGGTATATGCCTGGATGAAATGAGCAATTATTATATTTCACCCTAATTTTGTGTGCGAATTTCTGTCTTCGCCCCTTAAAGAACAAAAATCAGGAATGCTAGTAACTCAGCTGCCTTGTCTGTTTCTTTGTACATTTAACTTCAACTTCAATTATACCAAAGTGCAGGATTACAGTCTCAAAGGACGCTAAATTTTAATGTTGAATATAGACACGCTTCAAGATGTTACCGCGTTACTTGCAGGAAAGAACTAAGAAATGCAACCAAAGAGTGCAGATACATTAATCGGCCTACGGGTCGAGATTCGAACATGGACTACGGCAACTAAGAAGCAGGAGTTCCAACCTGTAGATCTACCCCATAGCGTTCCTGTAGCCTATGTGGTCTAAAGTGAATCGGTATTAATAGCTTAAGGAGGCTATAACAAATGGAACTTAGTTTGAGTGCCCTGGAATTTAACCTATGTTTTCCGTGGTTGGCCTTGTAATAGTGCCATCCCAAATTTGGGGGGAGGGGAGGTGGACGTCACGGGACCTGTCACAAGTAGTCCTATCAAAATATAGGCTTTGGAGCATTTTGGTGTTAATAAAATTACCTCGCGAATAAATAATTCTATCTGGGAATTTGAAGTGTAATCAAATGAAAATCCAAATGACATGTCTGCCAAGTCAGATGACAGTCTTAAGTCTGTTATAAGTTCAGGATTTTAGTTTTCATATTAACATGTTTGGAAAGTGTATTTCGTACCGGAATAAACATAATAAATTCGTGCGTTCTTTGCAACGTGCATTTGGAGGCGTTAAATCCGCCCTGTTCGATAGTTCCCGTTTTGGTCACTAGATCGGAGCACTTTAGTGTCCACCTTCCGAATTTCCTCATCCATCAATTTGTCATCACCGTTCGTAGGATGGCCGAAGCACGATTTTGATGTCGTGCAGAATGGCACAACGTCCATAACAAATTTCATCCAAATCCATCCAGTGGTTCTCGAGTTGAATCTACTGGACAGGCGGACGGACCGACACGACCAGCCCATAATGGTATCTCGCTTTGCACTTTGTGCAAAGAAGGCATAAAACTGTGTTTCCGTAAAGTATGTTGTAGAAAGTTAAAATACATTTCCGTGAGAATTTGTTGGGCCAGGTACGTAGTATTTTTTGTCAGTTCGTGTGCAGTCACGATTTGTGAAACCCTGCCGTAGCAACTGGATTGAGAGAGAAAGAGACGGCAGCAGTAGAAGCACGAGCAATTAAGATGTGTGTTTCACGATGATGATGTTGGTAATAATGTGCGGTTATGTTTGCAAGTGTAAATTTCACAGACGCGTACGTATGTTTGTTTTACTAAAACATATTGGCCAAGCGTACTGGCTACACATTAGTTAAAGACATACAAACACGTGAAACGATGTTAGTACTCAGACTTTACGTTCTATTGGTTGATAGATGGCCGTTTCAGGTTCGTATACTTATGCAACCGGACCGTCTTAGAACCTTTATTAACGCAAATTCTTAAGAATTTTTTGTTTTTCAGCACGTGTTAATTAATGAAGGGATTTTTTTAACAAGAAACTTCGTTTACCCAGAATATGGCTGTCTTCTGTGTTGTTTCTCCATGTTTTCTGGTACTTTACTGACGTTTAAGAGGTACTTGCTGCCTCCATCTTCTGCGCTATCGCGCTGACATCGCGTGAAAGTCAGATGTCATAAATTCTTCTTGCCATTTATCTCTCCCTGTACGACGCCTAAAATCATTGGTTAGGAGCCGGGGTAGCTCATAATATGCATAGTTAAGGACTGGAACACCGGGTTCGATCCCCGGCAGTGGCAGGTTTTTTTTTGCTCCAAAGCTTCCACGCTGACCGAGGCCCTACTCGTCTCTCATCAAGTGGGCGCTGGTCAACCAAAGAATGTCTGTCCGTTGGGACTGGGGGAACTTTGCTGCCTGTTTACGTCCAGTTGGGGGTTGAAGCTACGTAGAAGTGGACTTGTGTGCAGCTGATGTACAGTACGTAATGATACGTACGTACTATATTTATACCCAAACATCACATAGGTCTAGTCACACGAGCTTTAAGAAGCTGAATAACGGAAGTGCTCGACATATTTTATGCCTCATCTGCAGTGCCATTGAATTTCTTATTGTCACGTCTGTACTAGATAGGTAAGGCAGTGGACACAGCCTCAAAGCTTCCCTTTTCTTCCGTGGACCAAGGGGGGGGGAGTGTAAAATTTTGACAACTTGGGCTTCGCTCTTCGACCTGCGTGCGTGCTTTACCTGAGCTTGCGTGAAGAGGACGCGTCGCTTCCGGCGCTGAGCCAGAGGGAACTGCATGGGTTTGGCGTCTCCCGTCACGCTGCACGTGGACAGACCCGACATATTTCCCATGTTCATGTTCATCCCTGCAGTAGCGGATGATCCCATGAGGCGGGAAACTGCGAACAGAATTGGAGCTTATGAGCGAGGAACACACACACACACACACACACACATACAAACGGCAAGCTGAAAGCACGGCGGGATCATGAACTCGGCACCCCGAGACATTTAGACCGAGGAACAGGGCGGGTTTGTGGACTGGCGATGGGATTCATGACGCGTATTCTACGTTTTGCGAGTTTTGATACGTGCAAAGTACAAGTGACTTACGTTATACGCGGTTCTATTCTGGTATCATGAGAATCAATTTCCGCGGTCAATTTTTTAAAATCCTATGACATGCGACGAACCTTTTCCAGGCTTATCAGAGAATGTGGTGTAGATTTTATCACCAGTTTAACATTAAAATGGCAAGTATTATACGTTTCTCTTCGTTTGTGTTTTTGTTGTATGCGTTGATATGCAGGAACGCAACACCCGTGTATAACGAGAATCACGTTTACTAGGAATACAGAGGCGTAGAATTGTTCAATTCGGAGATCACAGTTTTTGAAATGCGTTCTTATATTTTACATCGTAATATTTTAGTAATATTATCTCCTAAAGGGCACACTGAGACATATTCATGGTATTGTTATTGTGTGTTTTTTGGCAGAGTGTGAAAGCATGATGAAGTGGTTTATATTTTCCTGAGTCTAAGAACACTGGTAACTATAAATATGTCATGTTATCTAGTGCTAAGAATTTTGAAAGAAAAGTAATCCCTCTCTAGGCGAGGTTTGTTTGAAGTACTGTGTTTTTAATTTCAGACTTAAGTACGCTAAGCTAATATTCTTCTTATGTTTGCGTTAAACTTTATTTTTATTGACAATAAGTAACTAATTTTCAATCTCGTTTCTCGTACTAAAATTAAGTTAAATAGCTAAATTACTTTACCCGATTATCGTCCTTTGTTTCGTTTTATTTTTACACTTCCTGAAGAAGATATTTCTTGG